ATTCAAGCTTCTAAGCAACTGTAGAATGATGCTGAGTGACTAGTGCCCATGAAGTGACTGAGCTGTTCACAGAAGTCTTTTGGCCTGATGTCCCGATTCCTCTTTAATAACCTCTAACTCCAACATCAGGGAAAGGTAAGCCATAGCAGTAGGTGTTGGGATGGTAGATTATTCCATTTTTGCCTTTCAAAACCTCTGTGCCTCTGCATCCAGGGTATGTGATTTACGGACAACATGCAGTAGTAGTCCCTAAAAACCCATAAAAAATAGATTCATACCATAGGCTCCTTCTCCCCTCCACTCTGTCACCACTGATGGAGACAGCACTTTTATGCAGCAATGAGAGAAGATACTTGATGAATGTGAGAACCCCAGGAGAGCCTGAAACTCTGTTAGGTTTGTAGATTACTGACCATTGAGTTGCTTTAATTACCACATTGAAAAGGATACATGGGGGTATTAATATTCATTTCCCTTATGGTTCCAAATAACGTGTGTAATCTTTCACACATGGTTTAGTGGTTTCTGAGGGCATTGGCTTGTGGCCTTGGCACCGAAGGAAGAGATGAGTCTCTATCATGTAAGATAGTGATGTTCACTGTTGAGTGAACAAATACTTTGATGCCCTTCTGGTGGCTGAGAATTGTTTTAGAACAAAAAGTCCCATTTGGAAGGAAGTGATGATTGAACAAATCTATGTTCATTTAATTTTAGGGGTCAAAAATTTCTCAGAAGCAGCAAGGTTAACTAATTTCCTTGTTTATGGCTAGAGTCTTATTGGGAAAGGCATTTGAACACTCTGCTGCAGCACAGAAATAAAATAGGATGGAGATTTCTACCCTAATCTGTGGATTCAACTCAGATGAGTTAATTATTTTAATCTCAGTCCACCAGAGAATGTGATTTAGTTGGTCTGGAGTTTAGAATGTTTAAATGATTTTCTCATCTCCCTCCTTGGTTCTAATGTGAACACAAGAAACCACTGAGTCACAAGGTTATTTTTTCTCCTTCCCTCCTTCTCCCTCCCTCACCAGAAAGTTGGAGACTAAAGATGGTGTTCTTGAGAAATTGGCAAAACCAAATTAAGTCCCCAAAATAGAAGTGGTCCCTAATCATTATTGTCAAACTGAAATAAATGACACAAAGATTGGCTCTCCAATATAGTTTATTCAGAAATAGCAGAGGGATTATAATCCACCATATGCATGCTATGGTGAACTCTAGGTGCACTACTGGGTATACGAGGAGGCTGAGGCAAGGGGAAGTGATTAAAGACAAAAGAGAAATATATGTAAGTTCTTTTGAAAAAAGAATATTGGTTACGGGGCTTACTGCAGGAGTTGACGTTATTTCCTGAGACACGCATGTACTCTTTTGTGAGCAGCTAGTTGTCTTTGTGTAGCTAGTCACCCTTGAAAAACTCATTCAGCAAGGTGAGGCTTGGAAAAAATTTCCTGTGGCTTACTATGTGTGTGTGCATAAATATGGATGCCCTCTTCCATGGCCTCCTGGCTCCATTTTATTAGGGTGAGACATGAGTGACTTCACTTTGGTACTAATAATTTCATACTGTCAAGGAACTTACCAACTAGGACATGTTTGAGTAACGCCTTCGTTGAACCTAGTGAATGATACCTGATCTAATCTGAAAACCAGGAGGAACGGTCAAGTCCCTCATTAAACATTTTTTTCATGTCCAGTAACATGGGAGGAAAACAGGAGTGTAGGAGACCTGCTGTTGCCACCTCTTTTACTTACCCAGGGAAATATCCACCAACTCAGTGGTAGAACAGCCATGCTGTGTGAAGTGACCTCAAAGGGGCTGTTGTTGGCAAGTGTCAAGGGGTAGTCAAAGTGCATGTGAGAGTCCCCATCAGTGAGAACCCTGCTTGCAGTGTAGCCCTAGAACCTTCTGTTCCCATTGGATTAACTGTACTAAGGAAACAGATCCATGAAAAGGCCCAGAAGACCCTGAATGAAAAATCAGTCTGCATCTTTAGACTTCTTAATGGTTTAGCAGTTTTTAGTGAAACTGGAGGTTTTTTTCTGTTTACTCCCTCACTCCCAGTTGCCATTATCCTGGCTGCCTCCATTAGCAATTCATGTATTTTTCTGTTGCTAGAGATTGAATCAGGGCCTCAAGCACTACCACTTGAGCCACGCCAGTCCTTTTGCTTTTGATTTTTCTGACCTCAAACTGAGATCCTTCTACTGCTGCCTCCTGAATAGCCCGGATTATAGATGTGTGCCACCATGCTTTATTCTACTAGTGAGTTCTTAAATTTTTTAAAAAAATTGTACTGTGGGATGCATTGTGACATTTACTAAAATGCCTACAATATATCATAGTTGAACTCACCCCATGTCATTCACCTTTATCACCCTTCCCCCCATTCCTGGAATAGTTTCAACAAGTCTCATTTTCCCATTTTTGTACATTAGTACATAATTTTCAATCAGGACATTAAATTTCTATAACAGACCTTTGAGAAGCATGAAAGTGAATGGTACCTTATATTTGTGAGATGCTGTGGCTAATCTTTCTGCTCATTATCATAAATACAGTGTGCATGTCTTCATATGGATGCTAGTAAAGAAAAAGCAAACACTGTTTCATTAAAGATGCCTGGATTTTGGTTTCTTTGGAATCTTAAGTTTTTTTTTTCTGTTAAAAAAATAACTTACTCTAAGGGATTTGGGGATAGAGGGGAAGATGCACAGGGCCTTGGAGGGTGAAGACCCAGTTTTGTTTTCTTCTAAAAGTTCTTTGTTGAACACAATGCAGGAAGAGCAGGGGCCAGGATTAGGAGACTTGGGTTTTCAGGCTCCTGATTTTTGGTGGCCTCCATTGTCTGTGGTTCCTAAACCCACATGGCTCTGAGATGGTGTGTCACCAAATACCACTGTAGTACTCTGAATAATGGCCACCCAAAGATATCAGAACCCAATCCCTGCATCTGTAAATGTTTCCATAGGAGAAGCCTTTGCAGATGTAATTAAATTAAGGATCTTGATGTGGGGAGACCATCTGGATTGTCTGGGTATGCCCTAAACCCAATTATAAGGGACAGGCAGGGGGAGATTTGATAAATGCAAAACAGAAGGCAGAGTGATAAACAGTAGAGAATGGAATGATGTGGATGCAAACCAAGGTCTCCCCTAGAGCCACCAGAAGGCCTATCAACTGATTTATTTTTGTAGTGCTGGAGATTAAGCCCAGTCCTTTGCACATGGTAGGCAAGCACTCTACAACTTGAACTATATGCCTCCAGCCTTCCCATTGACACTTTTTGATTTTGACATCTGTGACACTGATAGTGAACTTCTGGTCTCCAGAACAATAACAGAATAAATTTGTGTTATTTTAAGCCAAGTTTGTAGTAATTTGTTATACAGCCTTAAGAAACTATACAACCAACTACAAATAAGCACTGAGGGCTTGCTAGACCTGGGCTGGGTAGCCAGCTGGGAAAGGAGGATCATGACTCCTCCCCTTAGGGAGCTTAACAGGAGCTATGGGAGGCAGTCACCAACTCAAATTAAAATTTTAAGACCAGTGGAACAGAATAGAGGATCCAGATATGAAGCCACACAACTATGAGCAACTTATCTTTGACAAAGGAGCTAAAAATATACGATGGAG